GGCCAATTTGGTCCCACAGAGAGGGCCTCCTTAGGGTGCCGTCGGTCAAGCAATGTTGACTGATGACCCCCAATGGGAGAGCCTTCTCTGTGGGGGCACCCGCCCTCTGGAACGAGCTACCCCCAGGAATACAACTAATCCCGGACCTCCGGACCTTCCGTCGAGATTTAAAGACCTTCCTATTTCAGCAAGCTGGGCTGGCTTAAAATTTTAATGGGTTATTTTAAGGGTAATGGGTTTTAATGTTTTGGGAAGCCAATTCGATTTAATTCTGCTTTTAAATTATTTTAAATTTTGTATTGTATGTATTTTACTTTTGGTTGTGCACCGTCCTGAGTCCTTCGGGAGAAGAGCGGTATACAAATTCAAATAATAAATAAATAATAAATAAATAAATTAAGGTTATTTAAAATCAAAAGAAATAAACACACAAAGAATGTAAGACTAACAAGATAATCATTGGAGTGTAAGTAAATTATTTAAAGATTTAAATTGTGATGAAACTAGGGAAGGGCAAGATAACAAATGAGTTAGTTATGTTAATATAATGCATCTGCAGAGGAGACAAGACTTCCCAGATTGGGGTGAGGGGAAGGGATACGACATCATCTATCTCCAGTCCTCAACACAGTCCTCTCAGCAGTTCCAAGAAGGCTCCACATCCATTTGCTCTACGTAGGTGATCCTGAGGGCAGAGATCAACCTCCAAGTGGCCTCAATGACCCTCTAAAACAGGGGTGTCATACTCGTGGCCTGGGAGCCGGATGTGTCAAGTGCTGGTCTTGCTCCCACCTGGTTTAGTGAAGGGGAAAAAAGTCTCGATATGTCACATGTTGCCACTGTGACGACACGAGTTTGACACTCCTGCTCTAAAAGATTGCAAATGACCAGATGTCTGCAAGGAGTATAAATCCTTCCATTCCCCACCATCCAGTCAGAACTGAAGAAGCTTCTTGGATGAGAAGTGAAATGTCTTCAAAGAAAAACAAAACAGTCCAATTACCTCTTGAAAAAAGCACCTTTGGGACATCACCATACTAGAAAACTGCACTTCAACTGTAGTCTCAAATGATGGTGAAATTGAACAAAAGAAAACAAAATAAAGGGTGAGTAGAGAGGCCTTCATTGCAAGGGGTGGAAATTCCATTTCAATGGGGACAGAACTTTACCTCAAATTTTGGATATTATGGGCATCAAATAAAATACCATCTTTTGTTCCTTAAGCTTTAAGACCTGATTCTGTAGATAGCTTCAGATCCCAATGATGGAGCATCACAATGGAGATGGTTGATGAACTAAGAGGCAATCCCACCCCCCACATATCCAGCTCCTTCCCTCCCTATTTTTTTAACTATAATTCTATTTTGATTGTAGTTTCCATTTTAATTATTTTAGAAATATTTCTCTTTTAGGATTTTAATGGTATAAGTTTTCCAGAGTTGTTTCAAAACAAGACAGGTGGCAAGTAAGCTGAATGAATGAATGAATGAATGAATGAATGAATGAATGAACAAACGTTTGAAAGAAGTTTACCAGTCAGTGGGTGGGATCCCCTTCATTTAAAAAGTAAGAACATCACATCTTTCCAACGTTGTAAAAACTTTATTTTTTTTGCAATCTTTTGTAATATACAGCAAAGATGTGATTTTAGAGTTGTGGTTGGAAAACTTTATAAATGCTTTGTGAAAGTGATTTAAAGCAGGGGTCACCAAACTTTCAGACCTCAGGGACCACTAAATTCATAATTTTAAATCCTGCAGACCACTAATATGATCTGCCTAATGACTGGCTGGGTGGGCATGGCTAGCTGGTCATGTGACTGGGTGGGTATGGCCAACTTAATGTCACTCACGTTGAGGGGTGCCTAGCTGGCCTCTATTACCCTCCCCTCCCAGTCACTCCTCACCTGCCTGCCTGGCCTCCTTAGGGCCCTAACAGGAAGCAGTTGTTGGAGCTAAGCAGCCACCATAAGAAAGAGTTGGCAAAACGGCTGGCTCAGTTCAAATTGGATCTGGCCAAGAAGGAGGATCAGCAGAAGCACCTCACTGAGGACTACGAGCATAAGCTTTCCAAGCAGAGGGAAGACCTGCGGGAGTTCAAGGCCAGCTACTGAGGCCTGGAGGCTCAGCAGGCTGACATGGTCAGCCAGTTCCAGGCCATGATCCACTCCCACTGGAACAAGGCCCTCCAGCTCTTTACCACCAGTGGCACTTCTCTCCAGCCTTCACCCAAAGCCCTGCACCAGGAGACTGAAGCAGACCCCAAGTCAGAATTTCTGCCCCCTCTGCCCCACACAAATGGACCCTGAAGGGGGAGACTCTCTGCAGCAACACAAGCGTTCATTACATGTATCCGGCCCAGGGGCCATAGTTTGAGGACCCCTGATTTAGTGCAATATAAAAACCGCAAATAATTTTTCTGCGGACCACCAAAATTTTCTCACAGACCACCACTTGGTGACTGCTGATTTAAAGACTATGAAGTTAATTACAAAGAATCTTTGGTATGGGAAAAATCTGCCTTTTTTTTTTTAATATAAAAAGTTTTGTATTATTTTAAAACATAAACATAAAACACATCTTTTCAAAACACAGCTCTTGATCCGGTCACAAATTCATACAAATCCCTAACAAATCTTATTTTTCAATTAATACAACTTAATATTTTACTCAGTTATTTCCCTCAAATCTATTATTTAACTATGCCATTATCCCCCAAAACCCGTTACTTGAATCTTAAATCTTAACCAATTATCTTACCCTTTTTCTCTTTCATTTGCTTAGATGGATATATTTTTAAAGTATATATTAATTATTATAAACATTCATAAAATATTAAATTTTATAATCGAGATGTAACAACACAGGCAACCAACCCGCTCACAGCAACAAAGCCAGCACCCCACACCTCCCCACCAGTATTTATAGAGAGACGGCAGTTCCGATCATGCTTTCCTCGCACAAGCACGAAGCCGAAGACACCAGCCTGAAGATGACGAGTGGGACCTCGTCGAAACGTCACCAAGATACTCTCAATCTTACACAGGAAAAGTCCCGAATACACCAAAACTTGCATATCTCTACCCCTGAAAATCTACAAAAACAAATATATATATATATACACACACACACATACATATATATATATACATACACGCACACACACACACACACACACACACACACACACATATACATACACACATATGTATTTATATAAATTTGGGGCAAAATTCTCCAGTTTTCCACATTGTCCCATCTTCAAAGTTTGGAGCCACACCTTTGAGTTCTCCCTTTGAGCACCTCCTGTTGACTCATTCAGGGCTCAGATGCTTCTCTTCCTTGCAATTGTCCGAATTATAGTGATTTTATTGTTTTGATGTTAGGACCCTAGAGACCTTTCTGCAAACTTTCAGAACATTTTACGCAAACATGTCAGAAATTGATTTAATATCAATACCAGTCTCAAAGCAAAGTCTGGTGGGGTCTATATTATCAATACTAGATGCATAAATGACTCTGGAGACGGAAAGGGAATCTGGAGCTGGATTCAGGACAGGCAGGTGCTGTGTTTATGTCTCTTGAATGGGCTCTGACTGGATCTGAAGATACTTTCCTGGAAAGGGTTTTGGTTTCTTCCACCTCTTCATCTCATCCATTGTTAAAAACCGGGTGCCACTGAGAAGGCTCAAATCATGTTGCTACTGCTTCAACTTCTCCTGCTTCTGTGGCCAAGGGGAGCCTGTGAGATACGCAAAGCCAAATGCCTCCTGACTCTGGAGCAGGGTGAAGTGGATCCAGACAATCACTACAAGTCAGGAGATTATTTCATTAGTGGCATAATCTCTGCAAGGGACACTAAGTTTGAACCATTGAGCTTTGAGCAAAGTCCTTCAATCAAGTTCCTTGAGTAAGTCCTGCACTGCATTAGAGCCACTCCATTTCCAATGAATGTCTACAGTTCCAGTTCTCCAAAAACACCAGGTGCTTTCTCTCCTTGATCTGCTCCTTTTGCTTAGTTACTTTCTAATTCTGTCTTCTGTTGCATACTGCAAATGACGAAGATCATTGTGAGAAGTAAATTTTTAGAAACCCAATCACAATGTTTGCCCCATTCCATTTCCTTTCTGTCCTATGAGCAGAGCTAGAGTTTAAACAGAGAGGAACAAAGGGGCATCTCCCTTCCACCTCAACCCTCAGCTGAGCTGGACTCTGAGGAGGCCTGATCCAACCACAGAAGACTGCTGTATTTTCTCTTTGCATCAGATATGCGATAGCGCCATTCTTGTTTATCCACACCAAAATTTACTCTTAGTTTCCAAGCATCCCAATTAAGAACATAGTCATTCAGAGAGTTTGCAAATATCTCTGATTCTCATTCAAGAGTTCATGCCAGGGATCTAACAATGAAACATTTTAAAGAAATGAAAACATCTCTGTTATATTGGTTGGGTTGTTGGATATTATCACTATTATATTTGTTTGTTTATTGGAATTCATAGACTGTGTGACTCTAGATAGCTTACAATTAAAAGAAAAAAAAGACAAAACAGGAAAAGACAAAAAACCAAACCAAACCCAGAAACAATAACAATAACAACAAATCCAACAAATGTCCATCCAATGTGGCTCAATTTTCACTCTGCCTCAGAGGTTGGCAGAATAATCTGGTCTTTACAAGCTTCTAAACATCATCCAGGTTGAGCCATTCTCAGTAGGTTTGGTCCAATGCCACAAATATTTATCATATGAAAAATGTACAAGAAATGTAATAAATGTTTTTTTAATGTAATGAGTGGATGAAAAGTACAGAATTATCAAGAAAGAAAGTTGTATGTTATATTCATCTTTTTTTTTTTTTGCATCTGCAGTCCATCATCCAATCATTATTGGAAATTTCTGCCCTTCCTTTTTGCCACTGAAGAGATCAACAAGAATGTCCACCTCTTGCCTAATATCACTCTGGGTTACAATATTTATCAAATTTTCTTCAAGATAGAAATGACTTCAGATCCGTTGCTGGATCTGCTTTCGGACGGGGAGGCCAATGTTCCCAACTACAGATGTGGACGGCAGAGAAACACGGTGGCTGTTCTGGAAGGGGCTGAGACTGGCATCTCCATCCAAATTTCAACCTTGTTGGGCACCTACAAAATCCCTCAGGTATGTCTTTCTTGGAGGAACTGTTAGAAGATCAATCAGAATAGAGGTGGAAGGGACCTTGGAAGTATTCTAGTTCAACTCCCTTCTCAAGCAGGAGACTCTATGCCATTTCAGATAGGTAGCTGTCCAGTCTTTTCTTAAAAACCTCCAGTGATGAAGCACCAACCACTTCTGGAGGCAACTTCTGTTCCACTGGTTAATTGTCCTCACTGTTAGAATAGAATAGAATAGAATAGAATAGAATAGAATAGAATAGAATAGAATAGAATAGAATAGAATAGAATAGAATAGAATAGAATAGAATTCTTTATTGGCCAAGTGTGATTGGACACACAAGGAATTTGTTTTGGTGCATATGCTGTCGGAGTACATAAAAGAAAAGATACATTCGTCAAGAATCATAAGGTACAACACTTAATGATAATCATAGGGAAACAGTCAATATAAATCATAAGGATACCAGCAACAAGGCTACAGTCATACTGTCATAAGTGGGAGGAGATGGGTGATAGGAACGATGAGTAGATTAATAGTAATGCAGATTTAGTAACTAGTTCGACAGTGTTGAGAGAATTATTTGTTTAGCGGAGTGATGGCGTTCAGGAAAAAATTGTTCTTGTGTCTACTTGTTCCGGTGTGCAGTGCTCTATAGTGTCGTTTTGAGGGTAGGATTTGAAACAGTTTATTTATTTATTTATTTATTTATTTATTTATTTATTTATTTATTTATTTATTTATTTATTTATTTATTTATTTATTTATTTATTTATTTATTTATTTATTTAATGTATTTATTTATTTATTTATTTATTTCATGTATTTATATGCTGCCCTTCTCCAGAAGGACTCAGGGCGGCGAACACAAGTTAAAAACATGTACAACAAAATCCCATTTTAAACCAAATTAACTAATAAATAATAAATAATAAAACCCAGAATCAGAGTCAGCCTATTTGATTGAACAAAGCAAATGTCCAGGATGCGAGGGGTCTGTAGATAATCATAATCATAAGTTTATTTGTCAAGTATATATAAGATAACAGGTAAAAGTATAAATATTATTTGAATACATGAAAAGAGTAAGAGTAAAAAGGGATATTAGGACAGGGATGGAAGGCACACTGGTGCACTTATGCACGCCCCTTACAGACCTCTTAGGAATGGGGTGAGGTCAACAGTAGACAGTTTAAGGTTAAAGTTTTGGGGGTTTGGGGAAGAAACTACAGAGTCAGGTAGTGCATTCCAGGCATTGACCACTCTGTTACTGAAGTCATATTTTCTGCAATTGAGTTTGAAACTTTTTACCTTGAGTTTGTATCTATTATTTGCTTGTGTATTGTTGTGGTTGAAGCTGAAATAGTCATTGACAGGAAGGACATTGTGGCAGATAATTATATGTACTATGCTTAGGTCAACCTGAAGTCGGCGTAGTTCTAAGTTGTCTAAGCCCAAAATTTGGAGTCTGGTGGCATAAGGTATTTTATTGCGGTTAGAGGAATGGAGGATTCTTCTCGTAAAATATCTCTGGACTCTCTCGATTGTATTTATGTCTGATATGCAGTGCGGGTTCCAGACAGATGAGCTGTATTCAAGAATTGTCTAGCAAATGTTTTGGCAATGTTGTTACAGTGGGCTCGGGCACTTAGATCTTTAGAAATGAGTACTCTAAGGTCCTTGACAGAGTGAGGGTCATCTACAAGGTCATGTCCATCTAATATATATTTTATGTTTTGATTTATTTATTTTTTGCCAATGTGCAAGACAGAGCATTTGTTGGTTGAGATTTGGAGTTGCCACTTGTTAGATCAATCTGACACATAATCAAGGTCTTTTAGAAGGGTAGTTGCATTGTTGGTAGTGTTGAACATCATCAGCGAAGGGAACACAGTTGCTTTTAATATGATCACAAAGGTCATTTATGTAAAGTATGAAGAGTGTTGGTCCTAAGACACTGCCTTGGGGAACACCGCTATTAACATGTACAGGATTTGATAGAGCGCTTCCTATTTTGACTACTTGTCTGTTTGACAGGAAGACAGCTATCCATTTATGTAGGAGTCCAGAAATGCCATTAGATTTTAGTTTTAGAAGTAATTTGTCATGTACCACTGAATCAAAAGCTTTACAGAAGTCTATGTAAACTGCATCTATTGCTTTGCCCTGATCGAGATGTGCAGTCCATATGTTTTTGCACTGTAGTAGTTGTAGATTACAGGAGAATTGTTTTCTGAAGCCAAATTGTTTGTTAGAAAGTAGGTTGTTTGTCTCTAGGTGTAGGGTAATAGATTGGTTAATGATTGATTCCATGACTTTGCAGGTGATGCAACATAAAGTGATTGGTCTGTAATTTTCAACTAGGCTAGGGTCTCCCTTTTTGAAGATAGGGATGACCCTGACTTGTGACCATTGGTAGGGCAAGGTGCTGGTACTGAAAGATTTTTCAAAAATTACGCTTAGAGGTTTTGCAACTGCACATAGTCCATCAGGTTCAATAGATAGAAATGGTTTTAGATTGCGTAGTCCCTTTTCAACATTGTCTTCTGTAAAATCAATATGTATAAGATCATCGTAATTGTTGTAATTTTCTGTAGTATGACTGGGAAATATTGCGTATGTGTTGTTGCTGTTTACAAAGACTGAGCCGAAGAACGTGTTAAAGAGATTGGCTTTAACTGTTTCATCAATACAGTATTCATTGTTTGGTCCTTTTAGGGTGGGATGGATCTCGAGTCTTTAAGTTTGTTGTTTACAAAATTATAGAAGGCATGGGTGGATTTTATGCGTAGACGGTTTTCTTCTTGCTTGATGTGATAATTGGTGCATTCAATCTTTATTTGTTGGCATAAGTTTTTGTAGCGATTTTTGAAGTTAGCTACGTAGTTTGTTTTGTTTTTTCGCCAAAGAGATTTTTTTCTGGATTGTAATTTCCTTATTGTTATTGGTAGTTTATTTTTTCTGGTTTTGTGGGGTATTACTGGTATGTGAAATTTAATGATTCTTTTGGCTTCATGCAAGAAAATGTTGTAATGGTCGTCAGCAGTATTATAGGCGAGAATAGATTTTGCCAATCTATTTTATAGATTCATTTATGGTCCAATTAATAAGTGGTAAGTTAAGGTTAGGGTTAGAGTCAAAAAGAGGTCAGCCCTCTTTTTGACTTGTGCAATATACAGATCCTCAATGGAAGGCAGATTGGTAGTAATTGTTTTTTCTGCAGTTCTAATTATTCTCTGAAGTCTGTGTCTGTCTTGTTGGGTTAGGAAGTTAGGAAGTTTCCCCTTAATTCGAGGTTGCTTCTCTCCTTGATTAGTTTCCATCCATTGTTTCTCGTCTTGCCTTCTGGTGCTTTAGTAGATAAGTTGACCCCCTCTTCTTTGTTTATGTGCAATTTTGAATCAAACACTGTCTGCTTGCCTCCAGAAGTTGTGAATGCTCCAACACTGGAAGTTTTTAAGAAGAGGTTGGACAACCATTTGTCTGAAATGGTAGAAGGTTTTCTGCCTGAGCAGAGGGTTGGAGTAGAAGACTTCCAAGGTCCCTTCCAACTTTGACATTCTGTTAATTCTTTTCAGATCAGTTACAATTTGGCTTCCCAGATTCTGAGGGATAAAACTCTGTTTCCTTTCTTCTACCCGATGCTCCCTGTGGAAGGAGTCCAGTACCCAGGGATGGTCCAGCTTCTCCTCCATTTCAAGTGGACCATGGTTGGTCTTGTTGCTCCAGAAACTAACCAGGGGGAGAGGTTCATGAGGACAATGTCTTCTTTGATGTTAAGGAATGGCATTTGTGCAATTATCTATCAAAGCTTTCCACTAAATCTGTATCGGATAGTTTTAACCCTTAGCAAATATTACAAGTGGAGAGAAGTCAATGTCGCCGTTTATGGTTCGGAGATAATTTCCTTCCAGCTTGGAATGTTTATTCTACAATGCATACTTCAACATTTTCAGGGACCTATTGTAGAGAAAGTCTGGATCACCACAGCACACTGGGACCTGAGTCTTGAGTTGATGTTTCCTAAAGCTTCCTTTAAATACATTGGTGGGCTCTTTTCCTTCCTAATACAGAAAACGAAATGGGCGAACTATGATGCTTTTAGTCTCTTTGTTCACTCAGTATTAAACTTTTCAAAGAAAACCTTTACATGTTCCTCCACTAAGGATGACTTTTCGGTGAAAGTCTGGAGGCGGTGCAGACAGAAAGAAGAACTGGTGGCTCTGAGGGAAGAGGAGATGGATCGGATCCTGGCTATGGACAGTTATCTCACTTACAGCACCATCTGGGCTGTGGGCAGGGCCTTAAATTCAGCTCATATCTCCACATTCAAGAGATCTGTGAGGCACAGAGGCATAAAGGTAGAAGCTCCAAGACTGACGGCTTGGCAGGTATTTCTATTTAATTCTGAAAAATTAAATTGTCCTGAAACTCAGATCCAACCCAACTGCAACCCAAAAAGTAGAAACAAAACTAGATTTTTTTTTTACTAAAACAGTTAATTTGACCCAACAGATCCATCTGTTTTTCCATCTGTTCTTCCATTGGGATGATTAATATATATTTCCATTTTTGTGCATTTTACTGCAGTCCATGTTTTTTTTTTTTTCAATTTCCTTGTCCAGAAGTCCTTAAAGAAAAGTCTTGGTTTCAGTTTTATATTCATGTTACAATCTTCTGTATTAAAATTTGAATCTGGCCACTTTATCACAAGTCCACCAAAGAAGATAAAAACTTTCTCCCTTACAATTGCATTTCAAATATACATTATTTTCCAAAGCACCTGAAGGCAGGAGAAGAAGCAATGGATGGAAACTTATCAAGGAGAGAAGCAACCTAGAATTAAAGAGGAATTTCCTGAAAACAACTAATCAGTGGAAGGATTTGCCTCTAGACGTTGTAGATGCTCCATTGCTGGAGATTTTCAAGAAGAGGTTGGACAACCATTTGTCTGAAACGGTATAGGGTTTCTTGCTTGAGCAGAGAGTTCAACTAGAAGACCTCTACAGTCCCTCCCAACTCTGTTTTATTCATACATTTGAAATTCCTATATACATCTTCGACAATTTATAAGGTGTTAAATACTAAATATACATCATTTTACAAAAGTTCTCTTTTAAATTAAAATGAAGGTACAAAATGTGCCTGTAAAAGGAAGGTATGAAATGTAAAGCTACCTCAGAAACATGAGCGTATGTCAAAACTCTAGTCTTTTACAATCATTGATCTGATCTACATCTTTAAACATGATTAGACTTAGACTAACTTTTATTGTCACTTTGAATGTACACTAATCGGCATACATTAAAATGAAATTTCGTTGCATACAGCTCTCAAAGGGTCACCACCTCCAATATAGACTACATAAACATGACCAAATAAATAAATAAATATGTATATATCCACCTATATTATATGACACACAGAAACAACACAGTCTACTTTGGATGTATACATGTTCATGGCAAGAAAAACGAATCTTGCGAGTTTACCAGACAGATGGCATAGGGAACAAAGCTGTTACAGAATCTGGTAGTCCTGCTAGAAATACTTTGAAACCTCCTCCCAGAGGGGAGCAACAGAAACAGACCATAAAATGGGTGTGTGGAGTCTCTAACAATGCTTTGAGCTCTAAGCACATAGCGCTTATAAGTAAGCAGTATCCTGAATAACAGGAAGCAAGCTTCCTATAATCTTCTCGACTGTCCTTACCACTCTCTGTATGGGCTTTCTATCTGAGGCACTGCTGCCATCAAACTAAACAGTGTTGCAGTTTGTTAAAGTTCTCTCAATCATTCTTCTGTAAAAAGTGTTCAGGACAGAAGAAGAAAGATGTGCTCTCCTCATCCAACGCTGGAAATGCAGATGCTGGTTTGCACACTTCACTAAGGATGATGTGTGGAGAGACCAGTTCAGATTGTTAATTATCTGCATCCCCAGATGCTTAGTATCTGATGATATAAGCAACTGTTATTATTCTTATGTTTATTGATACTCTCCTAACCAAGTTTGAAACTGAAAATAAAATCTGGTTTTTGAAAGAGAGAGAGAGAAATGTTCAGATACTCCCCAACATAGACCAAAAGGTTCCACTCCCAGCTTAGCTACGAAAGCCGGCTTGCTGTCCTTGGGTCAGTCACTCTCTCTCAGCCCAACTCACCTCACAGGGATGTTGTTGTGGGGAAAGTAGGAGGAGGAAGGTGTGTTGCATAAATTGGCCACCTTGAATTATCTGTAAATGTAATAAAAGCAGGATACATACATATAAACAAACAAACAAATGTCCTTTCTAAACTTTTCTTTCCCTTTCCTTTCCAGCTTCACCCTTTCCTTCAAAGCCCTCAGTTTCACAATAATTCCATAGCTGGGATATATTTGGATGAGAAAGGAGATCTGACGGCTGACCTGGACATTTTGAACTGGATTGTTTTTCCAAACAAATCTGTTAAGAGAATGAAAACTGGAAGTCTAGAAAAACAGACAACGCAGGATTTTAAAGTTACCATTGACCAGAGGAATGTTGGACAGGTAGAAATGCTGACACTCTGGGATTAATATTTATTTTATTCTACTAAATGTGGCAAAAACAGGATTACAATTTTGGGGAATGTGTGTGTTTTCTTTTGTTGCTTTTGAGTTTTCATGTCAGCTGATCAGGTCTCAACACTCCAAATATCATGTTTATGAGATATTCAGTTGGTCTACATGTTGATTTTTCTGGATGTACTTCCTTTCATTCCTCAGACCCTACCGACTTCCAGGTGTGTGGAAAGCTGTCATCCTGGATTCATGAAGGTGGTTTTGGAAGGGAAACCCATCTGTTGCTACCATTGTCTCCCATGTCCAGAAGGAACCATCTCCACCATGGAAGGTGAGAGATAGCAGGGAAAAGAGGCACACTTTTGGGAAGACCACGGCCTCTGACTGGCTCATGAAAGCATGTTTTGAAAGGCATTTTTAAACTTGACTTTAAAAAATAATTTCTTTTAATATGTATAATTTATAGGGAGTTAAAAGAAATAGTCTGGTAATTTAAATAGGGAGCAGGATATCAAAAACAGCAGATCAATCAAGAATTGGAAGAGAAATGGCATTTCTCTTTCTTCATCTTATTTATTGGTGAACCTCTGGCATTTTTTCTTGGTGTCTCTGCAGAAATGGAGAAATTTTGATGCTCTGCTTTGTTCTCCTCTCCTCTCCTCTCCTCTCCTCTCCTCTCCTCTGCAATAGATTGCTTAAACTTGCTAGCTACTGCTGCATACTTCCTTTCTCTACACACTGTCAGGGTTCCAAGTAACACACTCAATGGAATCAAAACTCCCAGGCAGGCAAGTTCCTCAAAGTATAGATTTATTAGGCATGTCATATTCCTAATATACTATACTAATATACCATCCCCCAGCTATCTCTACCTCCCCCCTCCTGTTCCCACAGCTCGACTCATCTCCGTTGTGGCAGCCCTGAAGGTGGAGGGGGAAAATGGCTCCAGGGCTGACACACACATTCTTCGACATTATCGTTAGTTTTCTTCCAACTCTGCATGTTATGGAAGAATCTGCTTTATGGTAGATGTTAATCTTGTTCTTTTCAGATGCTGAAAAATGCACGAAATGCCCAGTGGGTCAGCATCCAAGCATCAACCGACATGGATGTATACCTAAGGTTGAAACTTTCCTATCCTACCAAGAAATATTGGGGATCATCCTAGCTTCCTTTGCCTTTTTCCTGGTTTTGGCAACAGGTTTCATCTTCATAGTATTCATTAAATTTCAAGAAACTCCCATGGTCAAAGCCAGCAATCGTGATCTCTCCTGCATCCTCCTCATCTCCCTTCTGTTTTCATTCTTGACCTCATTCTTATTCATTGGCCAGCCAAGAGTAACCACGTGCCTTGTCCAGCAAACAGCATTCAGCAACATTTTTACAGTTGCCATTTCTACTGTCTTGGCCAAAACTGTCATGGTGGTGTTAGCCTTCTTGGCCACAAAACCAGGGAGTAAAGTGCAAAGATGGCTAGGGAAGAGCTTGGCCAACTCTATCATACTTTCTTGCTCTGGGGTCCAAGTTGTCATCTGCAGCATCTGGTTGGGCACCTCTCCCCCATTCCCAGAGTCGGACATGTACTCAGAGTCTTCTCAGGTCATCCTGCAATGTAATGAAGGCTCTGTTGCCATGTTCTACCTTGCTCTTGGCTACATGGGTTTCCTGTCTGTCATCTGCTTCACAATGGCCTTCCTGGCCAGGAATCTCCCGGGGGCCTTCAACGAAGCTAAACTGATCACCTTCAGCATGATGGTCTTCTGCAGTGTCTGGATATCCTTCGTACCCACCTACCTGAGTACCAAGGGGAAGTATATGGTTGCTGTGCAAGTCTTCTCCATGTTGTCTTCCAGTGCCAGCCTGCTGCTATTAATTTTTCTCCCCAAATGTTACATTATTTTCCTAAGACCAGATCTGAATACAAAAGAACGAATGATGTCAAAATAAAATAGAAAATTGAGTTCTGTATATGTGTTTCCCAGAAATCATCATCCTCTTCATTTAACGACCCCATAATCCCTCGTGGGGTGGAATCTGGGCAAGTGAATGGAGCTAGCAGAGTGTTTACTGGCCGGATGCCCTTCCAGACGCCAATTCGGAGATTTGTTCAGCAGATCTATTCTCATTGTGCAAAGAGAGAGAAATATCTGCCTCTACCTAGGATCAAACTCACAGCCTCTTGATTGTGAGCCGAGAGCTCCACCTCCAGGCCACCGCACCACTCATGTGTTTCCCAGAAATCTCACTTAATAAATGTACTAAATGGTGTTTGATACTTTAATGCTTTTTAAATTAAATTTTAAAAAATGAGTCATTTCTTTATGTGGTAGAAATGGACTCCCGGTCATAATAGATGTGTTTTCCCCCTTTCCTTTTGCTGTCCAGTGTAGGGGAAAGTGTGTGGGTATGCATGGATGCTATGGTTGTGTGTGTGTGGATTTTCTAAAGATACATTTGAACCAGAGACCAGGAGACCTTTCTGTCGAAGCACATTTTTTTCTTATTGATATTCAGGGCAAAAGGATGGGCCTAAAGAAGGGAGGATTCCCTTCTTTTTATATTATGTAAATGTATGCACACAAGGGATTGAGAACAGAAGCAAGTGAAATGATTAGGCCTGGGCAACAGCAAGTGTGTGATTGGGTACAGGACATCAAGAGCTAGTGAGGTCCACTCCCAATCAGGAGTGATCATCCTTCAGTGCAATGAAAGCTCTGCGACCATGTTTTATGTGGTTCTCTGCTACATGGGTTTCCTTGCTGCCATTTGCTTCACAGTGGCTTTCCTGGCCAGGAACCTGCCTGGGGCCTTCAACGAAGCCAAACTGATCACCTTCAGCATGCTGGTCTTCTGCAGCGTCTGGATCTCCTTCCTGCCCACCTACTTGAGCACCAAAGGGAAATACATGGTGGCCGTGCAGGTTTTCTCCATCTTGGCTTCTGGTACTGGACTGCTGGGCTGCATCTTCTTCCCCAAGTGCTTCTTTCTTTCTTTCTTTCTTTCTTTCTTTCTTTCTTTCTTTCTTTCTTTCTTTCTTTCTTTCTTTCTTTCTTTCTTTCTTTCTTTCTTTCTTTCTTTCTTTCTTTCTTTCCCTCTGGAGGCCGCCAGTCAACATTGTTTGGCCGACAGCACCCTGAGGAGGCCTGCTCTGTGGGAGCGCATGGGATGGTGGGAGGAAGGCAGAATATGGTCCTGCAAGTACCCCGGGCCTAAGCCATGTAGGGCTTTATAGGTAAGTACCAGCACCTTGAAATGGACCCGAAGAGCAACCAGCAGCCAGTGCAGCTCACACAGGAGAGGTGTTCCATGGGAGTAACAAGGAACTCCTGTAACTACCCGCATAACTCCTTCATTCTCTCTTTCTCTCTCTGATTCTCTCACTGTCTCTTTCATTCTCTGTTTGTCTGTCTGTCTGTCTCTGTCTCATTCTGATTCTCTCTGATTCTCTTCTTCATTCTCTCTCTCTCTCTCTCAAATTTTCTCTCTGTCTTTCTTTCTCTCTCTCTCTCATTCTCTCTTTCTTTCATTCTGCCTCTCTCTCTCTTACTCTCTCTTTCATTTTCTCTCTCTTTCATTCTCTCTTTCTCTCTCTCTTTCTCTCTTTCTCTCTCCCCCTCTCCCCCTCTCTCTTTCCCTCTGTCTCATCTCTCTTCCCCCTCTTTCCCTCTCTTATCTCTTTCCCCCTTTCTTTCTTTCTCTCACTCTCTCTCCCATTCTTTCTCATTCTCTCTCTCTTTCATTCTCTCTCTGATTCTCTCTCTCTCTGATTCTCTTTCTCTCTCTCTTTCTCTCTCTCTTTCTCTCTCTCCATCTCTCTTTCTCTCTGTCTCATCTCTCTTCCCCCTCTTTTCCTCTCTCATCTCTCTCCCCCTTTCTTTCTCTCTCTCCCACTCTTTCTCATTCTCTCTCTCTTTCATTCTCTCTCTGATTCTCTCTCTCTCTGATTCTCTTTCTCTCTCTCATCTCATGGGCCAGCCAGTGTCTTGGGGCTGAGAGGAAGTCAAGCATCTCCCTGAGAGACCGAGGTGCGCAGAGCACCAAAAAGGGCCGGAAGAAATGGCTGCAAGATCCAGGAAGAGACAAAACTTCACTCTTATTCTGGAATATGGTGCAAATCTCCATCCCCTGCCCTTCCCTCGCCAGGCGAGGAGTGACTGAGAAGGGAGAACGAGGGGCGGGGACAGCTACTGGTGGGTTCAGCTGACAGGAAGCTACAACAGGGGGAAGAAACAGCCCTTCACTGCTACCCCCCCTTGCACCATTATCTCATTCCGGCCAGCGAGGGCTGTGCTATAAAGATGCAAGTTGCATGAACCTCCCTCTACAGGGAAGATTTACAGCCCCACCATGAGCTGCCTGGCGAGTTCCATATTCCAGAGCTCTAGTCACAAGACTGTGACTCATACCGGAGGAGCTCCTCCACCCTGGTGCACTGCAGATCACCAAAATTTTCTTGTAGAACACCACGGACCACCGGTTGGTGACCACTGCTCTATGCAATCCCACCTCCCATTTTCCCACAGTAGAAAATGTGGCAGGCCTGAAGGCCCAAATGTAAAAGATGGCTTCCACGTCTGAAAATAAGGTGTAACCAAACTCTATAGTTCTGGGTGACCTTCCCCAGGAGTCTCTGGGGACAAGAGAGTACATTGAAGGACAACACCCAATTTCCTGGGTGTTGAAATATCTTTCTTTAGCATCACTTTCTAGACTTGTCCAGTAAAGAAGGACCAAAACCACTTCAGACCAGTGCCCTCTAGGGGTATATCTATGATTTTTCACTATGCTTATCTCCAGCTTCTCCTCTGCACGTGGAGGCCCAGAGATAGTTCAGGATTCCCAGAGGAAATGTTGCTTCTTACAGTAATTATTAAAATCCTGATCTGTGAGATCTCTCCTGATATTTCGCCAGTGATCGCCTTTGATGTAAACATCAGACTGAACCAACTTGAAAGGGATCTTGCATCAGAAAAGGATAAATGACTCAGGTCACACTTCGGGTGGCACAAATTTTGGGACATTCAGGGACTGTGCTTCTTGAATGTACCTTTCCTTTCTTTCCTTTCCAGACGAAGTTCTGGTAATCTCTCTCTCAATCAAGAAAGTCACTCTCGTTTCCATTTTTGAATGGTGCTTTGAATTCTTCGAATGCTCTTGTTCTTCCTTAGAAACAGGAAGGGGATTGATTCAGCCCCATGAATTATGGACCTCCTCCTTCTGCTTCTACTGCTGCTGATGTCCCAGCCAGTCTCTGGGAAACTGAGAATGAGGTGCCTGCTGAATTTGGAGGAACATGAGGGAAAAAACCTACAGAGCTATTACATGCCAGGAGACCATCTCGTTAGTATAATCTCCATTGCCACAATAATATCCCATATAATGTTGTCTTTCAACACAGCTCCTTATACTCAAGCTCCGTCGTAAGTCATTCAGTGTGATGGAGTTGCATTCCTTCCATTTGCAGTCCTAACACTCTTCTTTTCTTTCAATTACTCCTATATTGGAGGACCTGTTTAATTTCTTGAATCATTTAGATTTCCATAACTTCTCCCCTATGTCTTATTTTAAGAGACCCAAATCCAAAGATGGAACAACCCTGCCCACCAAAATCAAATTAATTTCCCCTCTCGTACAATCTTGAGTCAATCACAATTAGCTTATTGAAAAGTTTGTAGCTGCCTCATCCCCACCCATTTTCCTATTTTGATAACCATTCATTGATATTCAATGCCTGACCCTGGTATGGAATAGAGAATGGCTTGTTTTTAGAATTGCTTTTCTGGATCATTTATAACTCCTCTTTCCTGATGATTCTATTTTAATAATTGAATGATTGTGAATCTTGGTCATTGCACAAATTAAAAATGAGCACTATTACAAATAATGATATATTTTAAATATTAAATCTGCATCCCACCTTCTCAACACTCATAACAATTAAACGGTGATGGGTGACTATAATTTGATTCTTGTTTTGGACACTTTTGGCTTAAGACTGAATGGGCTTGTGGAGAGAAAGAGGAACAAATGAAAATATATTTTGTTGTTGTTATTAGAGATGATGCTATGATGAACATTTTTTACAGTAGTTCATTGACTGATCCAGCAAGAATCCTAAGCTTCATTTTTGCCATTCAACAAGTCAATAAGAAATCTCATCTTTTGTACAATCTCACACTTGGCTACAACATCCATGACAACTATTTCAATACCCTTGGGACTTCAGATGCCTTGCTTGACATGCTCTCAACTGGAGAAGCCAATATTCCCAACTACAGCTGTGGAAAGAAGGACAACTTGATGGCTGTTCTTGATGGATCTCTCGATGACATCTCCATTCAGATGTCAACATTAATAGGCACCTACAAAGTCCCACAGGTTTGTTTTTTGTTTCTATATCTGGCAAAGTGAGCAGGTTGTTGGTGGGTGGGTAATAGATTCAATCATACCTTTTCTATGGAAATCATGAACTGCCTTTCTCATGGCCATTGTCATGGGTAGGGATTAGGATCCAGAGGAGGCCTAAACATTTACTCAAGCAGGACTTGAGCAGCTGGACACAATGTTAAATATGGAACATTTAAGCAAATCTCTAAAATGAACTGATTTGCACTTGCAGTGCTCTAGAGGTAGAAGACATATCATGTCAATTATCTGAACATCAATTTTATTAAAAAAGAGAAAGAGCAGAATTTTAGGCGCCAGATTAGACAAATGATTATATTCAGTCTTGCTAATATTCTGTATTTTGTATTCTTTATGTTGATATTGCTTAAGGGTTAAGAACAATAGACTGTTCCAGGTGTCACCAACCTTTTGGACCTCAGGGACCACCAAATTCATAATTTTAAATCCCGTGGATCACTAATATGATTTTTTTTCAAAACATAAATAATATTTAGAACAATATAAAAAATGCAAATAATTTTTCTGCAGACCACCAAAATTTTCTCGCAGACTCCCAGTGGTCCATGGACCACCAGTTGGTGACTGCTGGACTACTCCAATATGTTCGTGAGAACCACACTGGATGTATTAAACACTTACATTTTGGATTTGATCTGATCTAACCATAATACACCATTCTTCATTGCTTCTTCAGATCAGTTATGGAATTGTTTCAGAGACTCTGAGTGATAAAAGTCAAATGCCTTTTTTCCATCAGATGCTTCCCAAAAATGGGATCCAGTATCCAGGAATTGTCCAACTCCTCCTCCATTTCAGATGGACTTTGATTGGTCTTTTTTCAACAGATACAGAGGAGGGAGAGAATTTCATGAGAACTTTTACTCCTATGCTTGTCAGAAATGGAATTTGTGTAGTTATCTCACAACAATTCTCAATGGCTAAAGCTACAGAACCTCTCAGAAATGCCATCTCTAAGTGGAGA